GTCACATTGCAAACAATTTCAATCGACGATTCAAAAATAAGATGTTGAAAAATATTCTAATAAAATTAGGTATATCATTTAACATATCTTTATTTGAATTAAATATCTGTTTTAATTATTTAACTTTTAACCCATAAATTTCTATTAAATACATGATATACATCATGCAAATAAATATTTGAAGCTAAACTTAATACCTTTCATTCCTATTCGCCAAAAATTCAGACTTGGATTTATAGCATATCAAAGGAAAAGTGAAGCTTGGCTTATGACGATGAAGGATGTTGTTATGACCACATGACTATCAATTTGTCCAAGTCTGTAAATTAGGTTTTGGAAGGGGCAAGAAACCTCTCAATTACTACCTTGGTGAAAGCTATGTATGCATAATTGGTAGAGTATTTTATAAAGAGTGGTGAAAGCGCAATGAATGAGCTTAACAATGACATAAACAAAATTTGAGATTAAATAGACTTTTAATCCAAAGACACAAAAGGTTGGTCATAGGTGAACTATGATATTATCCACAAGTTTTTGTGAATGTGGCAAATTTAAGACATTGATATTCATGCTCAAATGTCATAGTTGTTTGTGCTTATGTGAGTATAGACTTCTGGTAATATGTTGACCTTATTTAGTCTTTGTAATATGTTATTAACGCATATTCATCTCAATGGTTACCTCTTAGAAATGAAATTAATAGTCTACAAAATAATGAGTGAAAATTGTAGAGACTAAAGGCTACTATGACTAGGAATGAAGTGGATTGGGTTAAATTACAATCAAGTCAATGATGTAGGCTATTTCAACAACTAGGTCATAACTAATGACAATGTCCTCAGCGAAGCCATGGTAATAATGGTGACAAGTAGTAATATGTGACATGGTGAAAGATTTTATTGTTATGTATGTTAATGTTTTTAATTTTAATGTATTCAATTGTTAATGTTTTTAACTTTAATGTATTCAGTTGTTGATGTTTTTAAATTTAAAATAGTAATACTATATACAGTAGTGATGAGAATGATAAAATACAAAAATAACACCTTAATCTAAATTCAAATATTGCTCTTGATGTCCCTCTTCATGAGGCGTGAAATGCACTGTCGATGATGATCTCATGCTCCACAATTAGGGTTGTGTTGCACATCTTACATTGTCGCATCTGCAACACTAGCAAATTATGCATTAAGATTGTTCAGAGGGCAAGTGTACCCATCAAGAAGTAATAAAGGGTTCTTACATTAAGTTTCTGAAATATCGTCCCACAAGAATTGATTTCCAAATACTAAGAATTTCCTAATTCAATTGTTTAAGCTTCAAAGATACGAGATTAATTAAAAGCAAGAATTTATAAAATCAATTATAAAACTAAGAGCAAGGAATACACTGCACGTCTTGGTTAAACTTATCGGAGAGGAACCTAAGGCATATAGGTTTTCTCATTCAATCCTTTATGTTATTTTTCTATTTAACTCTAAATCTGATTTCCTTGTAATTACCAATCATTCATACGAATACTATTAATACCCAATGGTCATGCAATATTAATATTTTTTTCTCTAAATTAATATCCCCAATGGTCATGCAAGACATCAATTTGAGAAAGCTTGAGGAACCTATGAACTTGTTAATTTAATAACGATTGGAAGAGAAAGATTGGTTTGGTCCACCTAATTCTTTGTCTCGTTTTACCCTATGGATCTATTAATTAACTGAGGTACGGTCGCCTGACGATATAATTAATTAGGATTAAGAAAGAAGCGCAATAGGATAAAATATAATCACAAAACAGAAATTAAATTTAAATTCAAATATCAAAATTCCATAAATTCATGAACAATAGTTCCCATAGCCCTAGCTATGGATTTACTTACTCATGCTAAAGAAAAGAACTAAAACAATCATAAACAAAGCTATTATAAAAAGAAATAGCAAACTAGAGTGTGAGATGTGTTCCCGATTTTCAAGTACAATAGCTTGAAGCTCCAAGTATCGTCAAGCATGTGCAAAGGATCCCGTGCAAGAGAGACAATATCAGATGTATTCTAGAGTCAAAGCCAAGATGTAAAAACGGTTTCTTTATGATGCCTGAGATCTTCCCTTTTATAGGATTTGAAAAACCTAAAAACTCTTCATAATTGGGCTTCCCGTAGATGAGCACGACCGTGCAAGGCCTTAAGCATGACCGTGCATGGGCTCAAAGCACCCACGTGCTTGTTAGAAGGGTCTGGGTATGCTGGCTGCTGCGAAACTCTAATCTTCTATCAATTTGGGCCTAGAATGCACCAAAAATCCACTTACGACCTCTTTATACCAAACTGCACAATTAATATATAAATTAGTGTAAAACTCAAATAAAATAAAGGTCAAATATGAATATATGGGCTGTAAAAGAGGGCTCAATTACAGACTTATCAAAGATCAATCCCACCCTCCACCCTTCTTGCAATAATGATGCCTCCCCACCTTGTTCACTATGTGGAAATTCTACACTTGGTGCATTGGTTGTGAAAAAGGATGACTTAAATGGAGGAGGAGTCATGAAAAGGCTAGCCTTAGGGATATAATAATCACCAGTGCTAAATGAAGATGAAGGAGTCTGTGAAGTGGATTATGACGAGTGAAAATAAGAACTCTAAGTCTATTGGAAAGGATGAAACAAGAACTACAGAGGGATATAATATAAATCATCTCTGCCTTCAGGCAAAGGAAGAAGTGAAAATGTTGTGGCTTGCAGTATGCACAATTAAAAATAAGAAGTTATAATACAAAAAATTTTAAAACGGCATCAAGAAACTGCAATTATAATATACCTAAATTTCTTATTGTTGACTTTATGTTCAACAGGCTAACCAATGGCAATCTCCAAATTAGTTGTGCGTCCACTCTGAATAGAAGTTTCAAATAACAAAGAAGGCTCCTAAATGCATTCTTGCTCATTTTGTAGTGATAGCATGGTCTTACACAACTTCTTCATCTCCTCAAATGAAAATGAGTCCTTACTATTACTACCCAAGTAATATGTTCTCTCACAGGCATCTCCCAGTAATAGCTTAACATATTATATTACAATTAATCAAAGAAACTATTATTTTGTGTAAGTTTAACAATTACTTATAGGCAAAGCAAATACTAATGCATCCTTACTCATTCACCATCTAGTGTGAGTAATATATCACCCCATGTATTCTGAGTTTGAACTCAACAAACTGATTTATAGGTCATTACTCATAATCCAGTCTAGTCTCCTATTCCAAAGCTCTACTATGCCTCTGAACTTAGTCAACCAATTCTCACTAATTTTTGCTCTAAGAGTAATATCATGCAGCTAGTCGAGTTGGTATGGAAGACGAGAAATATGTTGGACCATCCCAAATTGCCACATCACACGATCAAGACTACTCACAAATTTAAAAACATATAAATGACACAACTGATATCTAGATATTCATACCTTCAATGGATATGGCAGACAATGAATTCATTAACTCCATACTATACGATTGTCATACAATCTGCATATTCAATAAGAAAACTTGTCAATTATAGAATTCTAACAAATCAAGTTAAAGTTAGATAAGGAAGTATTTCTATAGGAACCCCCTCCATGCTAGTAGGTATGAAGTGAGTCCTTCTTATCTTCAAAATTGAGTGGTTATACCTATCCCAAATATGCTTTGATACATGAATAAACTGATACTAGAATAATGAAACATCTTCAAGGTTAGGATTTAAGACACTGTTATGCAAAGAAGAGGATGTCATCTTAAACAAATTATGACAAATTAATCTACCAATTGTTTACGTATATTATTTTATTTTCTTAATCTACTAACAATTAAATATTAATTATAAATTATATATTAATATCAGTTTATTATTAATTTTTTATTTTTTAATCTACTAACAATTAACTATTAATTCTAAATTTTATATTAATATAAATTTTTTATTATTAATTTATTTATTAATAAACAAGGGGAAAAACATATATATTTATTTTATAATTCTAATTTCATATTTACAATAAATAAATTTTATTTGATGGTATTTTAGAACAATACATATTTTATCACACTAAATTTATTATTCTAATTAATCTAATATTATCAAATTATGATAACTAATTTTACTTTCAAACTTCACCATTCTTATTTACTAACTATTTAATTCTTGAATTTATTATTTTTTAAATTATGTAATGATGGTGTAATTTTTTATTATTATATTAATTATTTATTCTAGTAATTTGATATTTATTTTATCAAATTATAATTATTATTTTGTTTTTAAAATTTTACATTTCTTATTATTTAAAAAATTCTGTTATTTTTAATGATTAATTTAAAAAAAAACCTATTTACTCTTTTTCAAAAACAATTATTATTTCTATTATATCTAATATTTATTATTGTACAAATATTATTTTATTTTATTTTATCTACTAACAATAACCTATTTATTATTTCTACTATACTTAATATTAATTATATTTCAATTATATATTATTTATAGTAACAAATAAATAATTCATACATTCAAAAAGATTTTTATAGTGATGAGCCATACCTCATTGACAAATCACTTGACCAACACTTTTATGTTTTGAATATTATTATATGTGTTAAGTTTATTATAGAATATGTGGGTAAAATATAAAATGAAAAAAAAATATTTTAGATAAAAAAAAAATTCTAAATCAATAAAAAATTGTATACATCTTTTAAACAATTTTCACGAAATACTTTGATAAAAAGTTTACGGGTCTTTGATCAAACAGGCTGAAAACTAAAAATGGTTGGAAAATAGGCATAATATTTTAAACACATCTCATCTCACATGGGCTCCACCTCCACAATTTCAATGGTTGACTTGACATTTGATTTTTGTAAATATCTCAGTAGCAGGGTCGCTCCCTTATTTTGACTTTGATTTTGACTTGGCCCTCTTCTTCTTTTCATTTCAGTTTTCTCTCTTCTTGTGGTTATTTTCTCTCTTCTTTTCTCTTCTTCCAAGTTTCTCATTCACGCGAAGGAACAATGTCTTGTTTCATTTTCCTATCTCTCCTGTTTCTCCTTCTTCAATCTCCTTTCTTATCTCTTTCAACCAACTCCGAAGGTATGTGAACGTTCTCAACTTCTTTCTTACCTCTGGATAACAAGTATATGGTTAATGGATATTGAAAATACAATATATGCTTCAAAACCTACCAATTTCCTTTTCCCTGTAAAACTGGGTATATTGGTTAGAATTGATGTGGCTTTTACTTTGTAGGAAATGCTCTGCATGCTTTGAGAAGCAAGCTTTCTGATCCCAACAACGTGCTGCAGAGCTGGGACCCAACTCTCGTTAATTCCTGTACTTGGTTCCATGTTACCTGCGACTCCAACAATCATGTCATTCGCTTGTAACACTCCCCTGCTTCAATCTTTTCTTTTTCATCATAGTTACTGGGTTTAGGATATTAATCACTCGTTTATCCTTTCAATTTCAGAGACTTGGGCAATTCTAACATTTCTGGAACCTTGGGCCCCGAGCTTGGCCAGCTACCCCACCTCCAATACCTGTATGTATGCTCTTCCCTTACCTATTTTAAAAACGTGTGCTATTTTTTGTGAAGCCGTGCCTGTAGTATCCTACTGTTACTGGCAACAACACAACTTCTATTTGTGGCTCTTTGGTCATTTTCCAAAATGAAAGGTGAAGTGAGTGATTATGAAATTCTTCGTTGCAGGGAGCTCTATAGGAATAACATAAGTGGGAAGATTCCTAAGGAACTTGGTAATTTGAAGAACCTTATTAGTATGGATTTGTATGATAACAAATTCGAAGGGAAAATTCCCAAGTCATTTGGCAAGTTGAAGTCACTTAAATTGCTGTAAGCATGTTTATGTTGTATTGCCAAAAACTTAAACGCCATTTCATGAACCCAATGATGTGTGTGAATTGTGTTCCATTTCGCTCATCCTTTTTCTTTGATGATATAGACGGCTGAACAACAACAAGCTCACAGGATCAATCCCAAGAGAACTCACTCATCTTAAAAATCTCAAGATCTTGTAATATTCTGTCTTTTATGTTTTATGTATCTTTCTTTTCATCCTGGGGGAGGGTCTGGAATGAAGAAAATCTGAGTTCAACTTCATTCTTTTTTTGTTCCCTGATAATTGACTTATAAGCTAATTTGAAACCCCCATTATGCAGTGATGTTTCTAATAATGACCTCTGTGGAACAATACCAGTAGATGGCAACTTCGAATCTTTCCCAGCAGAAAGGTATGGTAATATAACTATGTTGAACCTGCAATACAGTTTCTTGTAAAACATGTCACAATCTCAACATAAGTGCCTTCGCCTAGTGTTTCTGCATCCCTGTCAAGAACTTGTACCTTCTTAAGCATCTTAGTAAGTGTAATTTGTCTTAACGGACTTGTGTAAGATGCATGGAAATCTTGTCCACTCCACCATTTCAGTGCCTTGCTTATTTCTCGAAAAATATCAGATAAACCATATTTGACATGCATTAGTTAATAGTTGATTCATATTAAAATCTTTAAAGATGAAATACACTAATATATATGCGAGGAAAGTGCTCATTGATATTTATTCAGTTTTCATAAAAGATTGTTAAATTTCTCTATCTTAAAACAACTGTTCTCTCTTAGTCTTGTAAATTTCTTTCTTTCTCTCTACTCATGCATTAGTTCCTCTCTTCATTGGTTAAAAGATGCTTGTAACATTTTTTCGCAAAAAGTCGCTCATACAAAATAGCATTGCAGTTTGCAAAGTATCTTGCTTTTAAGTTCTAACACAAACTTGAATTGGTGGCATTTACACTATGACACAAAATCTTGACACTTTTCTCCCTTCCGTGTTTCAGTTTTGAGAATAACAAATTCAGCGGCCCAGAACTGAAAGGACTGGTTCCTTATGATTTTGGATGCTGAAGCGAAGTAGAATACGCCGTCCCCTCCTCAGACTGCAAAGATGTGGCCTTCATTACAGTATAAAAAACGTGTTGTTGCCAAAAAAATTAGTCTAAACGTGTACGGCCATTTATATCTAATGAATAAAATGAACTTATCATCTGCCTCATTTTGCAGGCAGCATAACAGAGTTTCTGACAGGGACAATGTTCAGTAAACATGTCGCATAGCCCAAAAACAAGCGTGTTATACGTACATAAAGTACAATGCTTTAGTAGTTTATCTCCAATCCATCAAGTTACCTTGTAACAAAAGAAAACCCAATTCAGTGTACAAAGGAGTAACATGGTCGATACCTTAGAACATGCTTGTTATACATACACACAAGTACAAGTTTTAATTGTTTATTTCTGATCCCTCAAGTTACATGTAACAAAAGAAAACCCTATTCAGTTTTTTTCTAAACAGGATTGCTATACAAAACAAAACTACTACGAATTACGTGGCAGTTCTAAAAACGTGCGGGAATTTCAGTTAGCAAAGGAATAACACCTCGAAATAGTCATCTATGGTTCATCGGCTCATATTCGTTCCTACATAATTTCGTTATTTCCGTTGTCTAAAATGTAAAATTTTACTTAAATAGCTCTTGAATAAAGCAATATTAAACGTGTAGGTGGTTCCGCCAAAAACATATTTTCTAAGCTTCTGGAGAGCCTTAAATTGTAAAATTTAGCAGGTTTGTGAAGTGTTTATTATTCTCATTACTTCAAGCTGAAAGGTAGTGTGAATACTTCAACTAAATATAAAGACTGAACAGTTAAAACGTTAATTAATTTTTGTTAAATTGTTTTGATATTATATATTAATTTTTAAAAAAAAGGAAAAATGAAAAACCGCAACGACAGAAAGTAGAACACCTTTTGGCACACCAGCGCCGTCAAGGGTAAGAGGCAAAAAAGAAAGCACGACAGATGGAAGCATGATAGTGGGCTTAACAAAGATGTAAAATTTGGACCCATACTAATGTAGCAAAATGAGTCAGGTTAACCGAGTTGATAATAATTGATGTTAAAGATAAAGGTACAACACAAACAAGATTTGATTATGCCCCATTCAGCTATCCCCCAGCTCAACCTCCGAACTTTAAATATTTGTTTTTCTCCATGTATTGGAATTTATTGGCTCTAGACTAGCACAAAGCCACGCCCCATTTCTTTCTCCCTTAGCAATGTGCAAGACGACCAAATATGTCTCATGCTTATGTGAATTGTTGCCAAAATTTATGTCAAGACAAGATGCTGCTCAGCTTGGTTTAGAATCACTTTGCATTAAAGACAATTCTTCTTCTGCACTAGCAAATGGCGAGCTCACAAGAAGTTCAACATCCTTGTTTTCTTGGTCAACCAATTCCGAAACAACTGAATGGCATTGCTGCCACCCACTGGAATGCAAGGAAGGTGGCTCTGCTTCAAATAGTATCCAATTCTTATTTTTGGCTTGAACCAAGATCGGGTACAAGATAAAGCCCACGAGAATTACTGCTCCACTCACAAAGAATGTTCTCAAAGAAGCCAAGCACATTACAAGAATAAGCAATGAAGTAGGAGGCAAACAAAACATGGTCACCCAAAATGTTTGCAATGGAACTCTGAAAGGTCTATGAAGATTGGGCTGCTTCAGCCTCAAAGTTATAAAAGCTGCAAATTCAAGAAGCATTCCTATAGCATATAAGAAATTGAGGAACTCTATGATTTGCTGAAAGCTCATCCATGACAAGAAGACAACTCCAGTGGCAGAGAACAAAATGCTAACAGTGGGTGTTCCATACTTAGACCTATAAGATATACAGGACCACATAAATGTTAGATCATTGAAATTTTTTCACAATTGATGTTAATATTGAAAAATTTCATCTATCTCTCAGTTAAGTGTATATTTAGATGGGATTATTTTGAGAGAAGAAAAAAGTATTTTGAGGATAAAAGCTGATCTTTAAAATTCTTGCATGTTTGATGACATTATCAAAGTGATAAAAAAAAATTCTACAGAAAAGCATTCTTTACTATATGCAAAAGCTTGGAACGTACTGTAAAAAGTTGTCAATTTCTTTAATTAACTCTTCTTTTTCACATTTTATCCACCAATTGATTATTTAAGATACAAAACCCACAAAGTTGTATAAAACTAACTCCATACCCCCCCCCCCCCCCTTTTTATGTAATTCTACTGTTAGAATAACCGATTGTTTAAACAATGTAAACGAAACAAATTATCCTAAAATCAATTCTCACCTCACATGTCCAAACACAATTTATTCCTCTAATTGATTATACAAGTAATGTATTATAAATATAGTTGACTATTAAAATAACACTTTTTCACAGTTAATTAATTCAAAACCATTAAAGAGAAAGAAATAGGCCGATAAAGTTGGTGTACTACTAGTAAGAGAAGGCATGAGATGGAAAATTGCTGACCTTGAAGCAAATACAGCCGGAAGCATTCCCATCTTGCTCATCCCTTGAAGCTGAAAAGCATCACTGCTCATTTCTGCTTCAAACAAGCCGAGATTAGACATAGCAGCAGCCGCTTGAATCCAGAGTTTCAGCCAAAAGCCACCGATGAACATCCCCACTTGGGCAAAATAACCATCTGCCCAATCACTTGGCGCAGATCTCAAAGCACCTGTTCCCGCAAGAAGTGGAATCAAATACGAGGTCATCACCAAAACTAGTCCTCCAACAAGTGCTTTTGGGAACGTTTTGCTGGGACTTTCAACCTCTCCTGCAAGGGTACTTGCCTTATCCCAATAATTTAAATTCCAAAACATACAATTGAAGTATCCTCGCCAATCCACCTTGCTAAAATCTACAACAAGCCACCGCCTGGGCCTAATTTCTGGAATGGAAAGAATGCCCATTATGATAAATGGAGAAAGTGAGAAAACGGCAAGCAGAACAGCAGAAAATCCTACAATGTGGAGGCCACGGTAATTCAAGTAAGTTAGTGAGAAGGTGATCCCCAAAAGTGCAGGAATTCTAGCAATGATTCGGTCAAAGATTGGCAAGGAATGCTTCAAGTAATCGAGGAACAGAACCGGGTAAAGTGCATTGTCCATAACCCCACTGAACCACTTCCAAAAGCCTTCCTGAAACCCCCAAAAGGGTCCAAAAGCTGAGGAAATCCAAATAACATATCCACCGTTGTGAGGAAAGCTGGTGGCAAGTTCAGCCGTAACCAGAGCTTCTGGTATACTCCATATTAGTGGAAAGATGAAGAATCCAAGCAAGGATAAAAGAGGACCACCACCAGCTCTCACTGAATCCTCCACTCCGAAAGGACCCCCAGAAACTTCATAGAAGATTAGAGCTATGAGAGGCAATAATGTTAATTTTGGATTGGATTTGTTGCCCTCTTCACCCATCAACAGAGAGGTGAAAAATTTGTTCAAGTTAAAAACTTTTAGACCCTTTAGCTCATACAGACACATCAATAGCACACTGTCTCTGGGTTTATTCAAAGCCTATCCGTATCCTTCTCTTAACATAACATGGGAATGGGATGGTATCGGTATTGCTCTCAGATTAAACCTTTCAGCGGAGATCCATGCCAACTCAACTGAGATCTGTTCTTGTTGCTGTTCTCAAACTTCATCCAACTTGACCTCCTTTCTTTCTTTTGCTTTTCATTCTATTCTATTCTTTTCCATCACAACATGCTCAAGGCGACGCCGGTTCCACCGTTCATGAGAGAGAGATAATATTCATTTCATGTGAGTTGACTGAGAAAAGGACCTGTCCGCTGTCACGCTAGATTTACTTTTTACTTTTTAACGTCGAAGATAAATCGCAAAAAATAAATAATATTTTTTATTAAAAATTAGAGTATTTAGTATTATTAATATTAAATTTAGTGATATTATATAATTTTTAATAAAAAATTATTATATATAATATTTTGAATATATGTTAAAAAAAGATTCTAGTTTTAGTTTTGCTGATTATTGCCTCAAGACAGTGGTTAAAAAATAATTAAGACTATAATCAAAATATATTAATAATATTAAATTTTATATTTTGAATAATTTTTGTTTAAGATTCATTAAAAGGTAATAGTTTATAAAACTGTTTTAGTTTGGATTTTGATTTGGAAACTAAATCAAATGAAGAGCATGATACCATTATTCTTTATTTGGTACTACAGATAAAAAAAAATGGGCAGAAAAACAAAAAATTATATACCATTTAATATTAGAGTAAATTGAAAGAAAAAAAGTTCATTTTTACTTTAAATTTGTTTAGTTAGATAAATAAAAGTTAAGAGAAATAAATTAATTCTTCAAATTTTAAAAACACGTGGCAAAAAAAAAAATCACTCGAAGGTTTTCTTTTTAAAAGATAGTCTCCCATTTGTTGTTTTCTTGATTGGACAAAAAATATTGTTTCAATTGTCACTTGCTCTGGTCTTCTAAACATGAAGTGTCTAAAAGAATTTTTATATTTTTACATCTTATTTTTCCTTATATTTCTGCTCCATCTCTTTTCTCTTCTTTTATTTTTTATTTTATAGATTTTATATCTTTTCACTTTTCTCTTTTTATCCCTCTTTTCAAAATAGTCTGGTGATCTGTTGGTGTACTCGCCGCTTATAACGAATACTATGTTGCAGTAAAACCAAATGCAAATTAGCCAAAGGGAATGGTTATCATCATATTTAGTGTGGAAATACAAGAGCCGTTTATCATGTTTAGTGGAAGTGAATTGTTTGCCTGCAAAGCTAAGTAGCCTTACATTAATCAAGAAACCCATATCTAATAAATAATGATTCGAGATTTTTTAAAGCTTCGTGGCACAAATTTTACAAGAATACTAGTTTATTTGCTGAAAAACAATTGAGATTTATTAACTCTACAATTTCACCTATGTACCCTTCAAGCTCCAAATTCAGATGGCTAAAGTATATTCAATTTTGATAAACAAGTGAAAACAGTCATCACAAGCTTATCACTCGAAACATTTTGCCTAGAAACAAAGGAAACAGAACTGGACTAACAAGCTAAATCCCATACAAGACGACCAGAACCAGTGCTCAACTAGAAAAAACTTAAGCACATATAAGTGATGATAACTACCAAAAACAGAGTTAATTAAGGATCAGAAGACAAGCAAGGAAGCATAACACAACTTAATTTTACAAATCCTATTGAATGTTAGACAAAACCTCTATGGACTACTATAAGACCGCAATACATCTGTAATTTAACAAAGCAGCATAGGAATCTCAGTGGCACTTGTGGTTATCAGATCAGCAAACACAAAAGGGAAGCAAAAGGAAGCAACGGGATTGATTAAGTTAAAATTTCCAATTGTTTAGATTTAATTACAATTCCTGAATTCGAGTGAATCAAACCCGATCAAAAAATAACTTCTGGAATTCTCCAGTGAAATCAGATGTCAAATAAAGTATCTTAGGAGATAGTAGTTCAAATACGCTAAAAACTAGACTTTTAGTTCAAAAGTAGAAATAAAAACATCCAAAGTCATAGATTGGGCCTAAAACTACAATATAAGCAAACAGGCGATGGATTAGCGGAAACTGCTCCATGAAAATTCAAGCTTGAGTTGCTGGGAGTGGAGGAGGCACACCGAATTTCAATATATAAGCGAGTTGATGAACTGGACGCAGTTGGGGAATTAGTTGAGCATCCAAATAAGCGTCACAGGAGAAACACCAGACGGAGAGATCACTGATTGAGAAAGTGAAGAAATAAGTAAAAATAGGGTAAAGATTGGGAAAGAATGGGATTAGGGAATACCTAAAACTGAGGGCGATGCAATGATTTGTGTCCCGAAAGTGTTGGAGCATGTGCTTGTTCACAAAACGGCTACACAAGACTTGCTTACACGACAGACACACCCAGTTCTCAGTGGGGTGTTGGCATCTCTGGCAGGGGGTTTCAGGGGTTGGAATGTGGCTAAGATCGCCAGACAATGATGCCAGGTGACCGCATGAGCTTCTAGCTTCCACCCAACCCGATTCCGATCCATACATTAAGTCGTAATCTTCTTCGGACAAACCTAAACCTTGCTGATCACGGAACACGTCGTTCAATCAAATATCAGAATAACAAATAAATTTGATGGGTTTTCAGTGAATACCTGCGGAGAAGAAGAGGAAGCCATCAAATTCTGTACAGTAGTCGCCCTTTTCGATCCAAACCAGATGCGCCGTTCGGGCAGTGAAATAGTCTTTCCCTATTCCAACACCTTTTTCTAGCTGCTTCATCTGCTTCCCCATATTTGAGGGCTACCAGATGCCGCTGCCTGGACTAATATTTTTATTATAATTTATTTTTTATTATAAGAAAGTTTTTTATATTTCTTTTAATACAAAAAGTCTTTTTAAAGGAGGGTTAACTTTTTTTTTCTTCTTTTATTATCGCTGATTTTTTACTTAAATCTCTTAACCATGTTTATCTAGTTTTTAAATATTGAAATATAACTTAATTTCATTAGTACTAAGGTTTTGAATTTAAATTTAAAAAATAAAAATAAAAGATACAGTTGTGTCATGATCGGTAATGATTAATCAAAACTTTTAAATTTTAAATTATTCTCAATTTTTTAAAGCTTAAAAATTTTTCATGGTTTCAACGATCAGAAGTTTTTGAAGGAGGAGCAGAATGAATAATTTAAGAATTATTTCTATTTTTGTTATTATTTAACCCTATATTATGTCTTAATCTTTTGTAGAATTGTCAAAATAGGTTAAAGTCTTGAATCTTACTCTATTTAGCCTCTTATATAGTCTTATTTTTTTAAAGTCCCGTAGTTAGTGAATTTATTTTAACCCTAAGCTTCAATATAAAGAAAATAATAGTTAGGGTTAGGATTAAGAGTGAGTTAGCTCACTTATTTTAAAAAGTAATTAATAATTATATTATTTATTTATAATATTTATTACATTATTTTATTTTAAAAAATTAAAATATATATTTTAAATATAAAATTTTTAAAAAAGTACAAAAAATACTTAATTTAATATATTAAAATTTTTATCATAAAAATAATATTAAATATAATTATATTATAAAATTAAATTAAATTTAGCTTCTTTATTTATTTAATTTTTTTAATTAAATTTAATATGGTACATTAATAATTTATGATTTTAATTAAGAATTAATAATAAATACTTTTAACTAAATAATATAATAATATTTTATTAAATACTATTTAATAATTATTTTAATTCGGTCAGACTGGTGTATAGTGCAAAATCAGAAAGCAAACCAAAAAGTGTTGGAGAGCTAAATCAATGAGATTTTTTTCATTATCATTTTCAGTCAATAATATTTTATTTTAATATCTTGATATTTTTTTACATTTTATTTTGACATATAATGGATACATATTCTCTAACTACTAGACGCTTATTTCGCGCACAGACATGTATGAAATATTTTTTAAATTCAATAAAAATTATAAAAAATAAATATTATCTCAATTGTTATCTATTTAAATCTATTGAATAAGAAACATATAGATTAAGAATTTATAATATAAAAAAATTTATCGTTAATATTCACATAATATTTATAAAATTATATAAAAATTATACAATAATTTAACAATTATCAATAATATAGATAAAAATTAAAGAAATATATAAATTAATTTAATAATAAATAATTATATTTTTATAAATATTGTTTAATAACAACAGTCATTATAAATATTTATATTATATAAATTTTATTTATTTTTATCTGTTTTTAAATAATTTTATTGGCCTACAAGTTTATAATAGATAATATTATATAAAATAAATATTTTTAATAGATACTCTACTAATTATTGCAATTCATATCAAATTTTTTTAAGTTTAGATTTTCTAAGGGCTTAAATATGTTATTGGTTCCTATGTATGTAAGTCGTTTTGTGATAAGTTTCTATAAATTTTTTTATTAAAATGTAGTTCCTGAAAAGTTAAAAATTTAGAATTTAATTTGTTAATCTCCTCTCTGTTAAGTGCTAAGCTGATGTGACATGTCATGTCATTTATTTTTTTCTTTTTTATTTAAAATTAAAATTTATAAATAAGTCCCTAAACTTATTTTATATAATTGTATAAAAGTCCTTTCTTCTTCCTTACTCTTACCTCTTTTCTCACCCCTTCTTCTTTCTCACACTCTTATCCACACCACCCCTCTCTCCCACCCATTCTTATTCCTCCATCCGCACCACCCATTTCCTCCACCCCTTCCCCACATCCTTCTCTCTCAAACATCCACACTCCTATCTCCCTCTAACACCCACACTCATTCCTCACATCCACACTACATTTCTCCCTTCCTCACATCCCTTTCTCTCCAATACCCACACTCCTACCACCATCTGCACCACCCCTTCCCTTTCTCCTATCTGTATCATCCCCACCCCTTCCCCACCACCCTTTTCCCATATCCTTCTCCCTCTAACGCCCATACTCCTATCTCTTTCCAACACCCACACCATTCCTCATATCTACATTATCCTTCTCCCTTCCCCACATCCCTTTCTCTTTAACATCCACACCACCCTTCTCCCTTCCTCACATCCCTTTCTTTCCAACACTCATACTCTTACCACCATCCGCACCATCTCCTCCCTTACCCCAAACAAAATTTGACACATTGAACTTCTCCGCCAGCTCAACAACATCCACAACCGTCTTCCTCACATCTGCCATGTCACCATCATTCTCGTGGCAAGTTGAGAATTTCTGGGGTTAAAACAATGATGTAATGGAGGAATCGGGGGAGAGTTGAATGATGGAACCATAGCGAATAGAGAGAGCATGGAAGCTTTGGTGAGACAAGTGGAAGATGAGGTGAAAATGACAAAGGGAAGGGAGAAGGGGTGCTGGAAGGGGGTTGTGAGGGAGGGGGAGGGGGAGGGGAATGGAGGAACTGCGGAGAAAAAGGAAAGAAAGTTATAGGAACTTTTGTGCAGTTATGTAAAATATGTTTAGTGACTTATTTGTAAATATTAATTTTAAATAAAAAATAATAAATAATAAATGACATGGCATGCCCATAGGCTGTGAGTAGGCCTCGAGATGGCCACGTGGCACCATATGGAGTGTTAAGTTGGCTCTCCGTCAGCCAGCTCAGCACTTAACAGAAAATGAGTTAACGGCAGGGACTAAATTCTAAACTTTTAAGTTTTCAGGGACTACATCTTAACAAAAAAAATTATAGGGACTTATCACAAAACGACCTATAGTTATAGGGACTAATAACATATTTAAGCCTTCTCTAGAAATAGATAAATTTTTGTGTCCCATAAAGCCCTGACCCTAACTCTAACCCTAAAGGCTTTTTTGCCCATGGGGCTTTTAATTTGTTGGGCTTTTTGACCCTAACCCACATGAACTAGGACTAGGGTTGGGTCAAATAATCTTTTGTATACATTATGTGTAAATTCTGGCTAATAATCAAAGAAGATGCATGCATATTTGCAAGTGTTGAAACTTGGATGTGGAAACTCACATATGTGTGAAGAGTTGCATATTGACCTTTCATCTATTGCAGTTCATAAGATGCAAAAAGGGTTAATTTCCTCAGGATTCAAAGGTCAGCTTGCAAGTTTATAGTAACTGCTAGACATACCATGTGTGATTTGTTATATTTATGTTTTTTATTTGCTTATTTGTTATGTATTATTTTTTTTTTCTACATGTTTTCATTTATATTATTAGACATAAAAGTGTTACAAATTGATATGTTGAGTTTTCTTTCGAGGATGAAGGTTTTTGGTTATTGAGAAAGGAACTATAGTAAATTAAATGATTTTTCCTTTGACCTATAATGGAATTTTGGGTTAAAATTCTAAACTGATGATTATGGTTTCTAGATAAACGGTTAAGTATTTGAAGTTTATGAGTTACATGTGAATATATTATCTTAATTTTGAAGGATGTACTATTCTTGGATAGTGATGACTCATAGAATTCAAAACTTGAAACTATATTTGGTCATAATCACGTTGAAAGGTGTTAACATAGTTCTAAAAGTATATGGCATATTTATCTGAATAACTTTATACAAGGTTCCACTTTTTTTACACTTCAAGTTCACTGAGTTCGATCTTTTGCTTTAAGGAAAGCTTTCTGTTACTCTAGTCATGTGTAGAATGATAGTTCAAGACATATTAGTGAATCTAGTTGATTCTAATATTTATTTAAGCTATAATTTAAAATAGCAATGTATAGATTAATTTATTATTCACATGTTATTAATTCAAACATGTAAATTTTCCTTGTACTTTTACAATAAAATAAGATAAACAAATTTAAAATCAAATTTCAAACCATAGATTCAATTATAAATTCTCTTATATTTTAATTTTAATTTATTTATTATAATACATGCAATGATTTATAATAGCAATGAATATACTATTATATTATTCATATATTATAAAATTATAAGAGTGTGAGTTTAGTTACATTATCTACTATCTTATGCATAAGAATAATCTTACATTTTATTTTAAGAAATTAAATATTTTTAGATTTTTATTTAATTTTTAAAAAAATTCACATAATAATTAAAATAGTAATATATAGACTACTTTATTATTTACATGTTAAAAAGTCATATGCATAAAAAAGATTCTCAATTTTATGATAAATTAATAAATAAATTTTATTTTAAAAATTAAAATTCAAATGAATAGTTTCAATTATAATTTTTTACTATTTTTTAAATAAATCAATAAATAAATAAATTTTTATTTTTTTAATTGATACAATAATTTAGAATAAACATGTATATATTACTCTATAATTTATATGTTATAAAATTGTAAGGATAGTAATAACTACATTATTTAGTATCATGTACAAGTTAATTATCTTAAATTTTATTTTATTTCAAAACTCAAAATATTTTCTTACTTTTTCCTATAAAAATAATTAAAAAAATAATTTTTAAATTTATATAACAATTAAAGATAGTGATATATAAATTATTCTCTTGTTTATAAATTATACAATCATAAAATTAAAAATCTAATCTTATTTTTAGATAAAACTAAAATTACAAACTAAAAAATATATCTTTCTTTCAATTATTTAGCATCCTCAAATAGTTTATTTTCATTTTCATAAACCTTTCAAAACATGTTATTTTTTCAAAATTACATAGCTTTTTTTTTTTCATTGCACTTAAGGATACATAAGAGCGAGGATAAAAAATCTTCGGACCCAATTATTTAAAATCCTATTTCCC